AACCAGATGAAAGTATCACATACATGCAGTGTGTATAAATAGCGGAAGGTGATTAAAGATGTCTGTTAAGTTAGTGCTATTGGAGCTTTCTGGCTCGTTGGCATGAATGGTATTATCTTCATCAGAGTATCTGCTTTGAAGTCCACAAAGGAGACCTTTTATCATAATGCAGTTAAAACTGATGTTGATGTGGTTGATTGGATTTGGGCTGATTGGGTTAAAATTGACAATTCAAGCCCCAGACAGGCACTTCACTGCTTCTGTCAGTTACCAAGTGACCACTTTCTCCTGTTGTTCCAAGATGTCAGACCTTCTGCATTTTCTATGAGCTCTTTGGGGTAGTGATAGGAGTTGTGTTGTAACTGTAAATTACATCGCCCTTCAGTTTAGCATAGTGCACTCTGATGGATCAGCACTTATGTAGTAAAAAACCACAAGCTTTAGTCTCTTTAGTTAGAACCATAAGGTTAAAGAAATATCTGGAGACAGCTGAGAGGAGCACAGAGCTACACTACCCAGGTGGAGTCTGCTGTGATCTTTGCAGGTTTTATTTTACCAGGACCCGTCATTCTCAATTATGAAACAGAAACTGGAGACTTGAGTTCTCCATTTAACAATTTAACAGGACGGTGGTGTGAACGCTTGAAATCTAGAGCAATAACAAGATATCACCTAAGCTGCAACAGTGCTAACACATGAATTCAGAAGGGTTCTGTGTGCAGGAAACCATCTGCCATGAATCAGTATGTCACCGCAGAGATCTGACATTTCACTCTGTTTCACATTCAGTGAGGAGAACTACCCATTCTGTGTCACATTGTAGTGAACATTGTATGTTAAAAAGCCACTTTCCCGACCAGTAAGAATGTCAGTATTTCATGGTCTTCAGCTCAGAGGTCTACGCATTGCATCTCTTTACAAGAGGGAAAGCTGTAGAACATAATGTGTTAACCTACCAGTTTTTACATACTCTTAAAGGAAGCATCTATCATGAAATTAAAAATATTGTTTCTTTTACCTATCATCTACTGTGGCACATCTGCGCTGTAGCATGGATGGCTCTGTTGTCCTTAGAGGTGTTTACAAGAAGGAAAGCAAAGTTCAATAGGGTTTCTTGTATGTTTTGATGGTTTTTAATCAAAACGGTTGTCAGATGATGTTTAAATGACTGAGCTGGTGAAACGGTTTTTAATATTGCTGCCCAGTGACCAGCTTCACTCTCAGGAGAGGCGAGGCGATGCGATGTAGCATCTGAATGTTTTAAATCTGCGATGATTGAAAGCTGCCACGTTAGACCGGGTGCCTTCACCAGAGGTTATTTGTTTTGGGCGTGTGCTTCTTTTTCTCATTTTTGCCAATGCTTGTGATCGGCTCAGGCTGTTCGGCGGCGCTTTATTCACAAAAACTGGTCCGTGGAGGGGATGTTTTGAGTCCAAAATCCCAGAACTACCTCTCTTGAGCAGACCTCTGTGGAATATAGTCTGGTTACTGGTTTCTAACAGCTCTTGCTGCCCTTTAGGGAATAGGAGATTAAAATACATTTTGGCCACGATATTTAACTAGTTTAAACAACACCTGTACTAGTGTGTTTGTTTTTGGCCAGAGATGAGAAACCATTGGGATGTGACACAGGGAGTGAGTGGGCTTAGTTCTGCTGGGAAGTCTCTGTTTCTCTCGCTGTGTCTTTTAACCGTGTCAAGAGCGCAGTCTCATGTAATGGTATTTTTGACATGCAGACACAAGCTAGGGCAGTGATTAGAATGGGCAAATGTCCAGTTCATCAACTGGCTCTGTTAATGTGACTGGCTTTAATATGAGCTCGATATAGAGCAGGTCTGTCAGTATCACATTGCACGGCTAGCTTATAGATCTACGTTTCCCTAATGGCACCGTATTTACCCCCAAAAGGATTTATTTGCAACCAGCCTCTACTCCTGTTTGTTTGGGGTTTCATGTGTGCTCAGGTGTAAACTTTCATATCCTTTGCTAATCCAATTTACAAACCATCTAGCCACGTTCTTCAGATTATCCCCCCCAAAAAAGGTGTATCAATAGCAATTGGTTCCAAACTTTTATTTTCCCATACTAATCACTTTTGTTGTTTTTTAACATTTACTTTAAACTTTAAACCAGCTTACCAAGCTGACTTAATGACTGCCAGATAAGTATTTGTCAACACAACAGCTGGCACACAATGCCTTCTTGTAGCTTTATTCCACAACATATGCCAACCGCTCCTAGCATGTGATAATTTAGCTGGGGCTGATACTATACGAGCAGATGGGCTGAAGTATTGTTATTCTCACTCCAGCTCTGAGCCCCCCAGGGGAATTGCTAAATAAAATCAAAGCAGATGGACCTTTCCGGGCTTGTTTGTATTTGTGATAAACATCACAGGCTCTTCCACCACTGGCTGCTCACCTCCAGAGAGGCCCAACACTCTCCTTACCAGTCCCGACACCCTCTGCCCCATCACAGAAACTGCCCCCCCCGCCCCCCCACGCTGCTGTACTTGGCCTGGCACGCTTGGCAAAGCCTCAATAGCAGTTCTGGCTTTTCTTTAAGTGGGCATTAATAAATGCATCTGCTTAATCCGTTTCAATGGCTGCCCCCACAAGACAAATTACGATACCCCGGAACGGGATAATTCTGTCGCTCTTGCCAACACTGTACCTGTGAGTAGCACTAAAAAAAACACCGCAATGAAGCAAAGTTTTAGGGGAAATTTAATTTGTTTTGTGATGTGGACTTTTGAGTAAATATTTTTTTCATCCTTTAATGGAGTTGGTAGACTCAGCCAGGACAGATGTGAAATATGTCCCTGTTGTCATTTTGTCTTGAGAGCTGCAGTACTTGAGTTCCTCCTGCAGTGTCAGTGGCTCTGAAGAAATGCA